AGTCTAGGCGATAGAAACTGTAAAATTGGCAAACTGGACATTTTGAGGTGGAAAAGAAAAAAATGGTGGAATATGTTCAGTTAGGTGTCAAAAACAACATATTAAAAATCCCACCCTCCAGACCCTGTGCTAATGGCTCCAGCCACCCCACCATCCCCCAAAAACCGTGTTTTCGCTCTTTTTGGCTGATATCTCGCGATCTACGAGTATGAGGTCTATATGAAATATTTTTAGCTGAAAATATTTCTCGGGAAATTTCATACAAGGTAGATACTCAGAAGTTAGCCTAGGTGTACCTCTTTTAGCCAAGGAAATTCATAAAAGCGGCGAAAATCATCAATTTTCGTGGCTTTTTGCAAATATATCGCGACCTTTAGAGCTAGATGAAATATTTTTAGCTGAAAATGCTCCTCGTGAAATTTTTTACAAGGTAGATACTCAGAAGTTAGCCTAGGTGTGTACCTCTTAGCCTAGAAAATTCATAAAAGGAGGCGAAAATCATCATTTTCGTGTTTTTTTTGCGGTTTTTTGCAAAAATATCGCGACCGTCAGGGCTAGATGAAATATGTTTAGCTGAAAATGCTCTTCGTGCAATTTCATACGAGATAGGTAACTGAAGAGTTGGCGTAAAGTCACCTTTCACCTTCAACTTTCATGTGTGAGGAAATATTCATTGTAAAACAAAGTATTTCTATGTACCATTTATTCACGTAAAAACAGTATTTTCATATTAAAATATTCACACATTCATTTATACCTCAACGTAATCATTATCCTCTGCAGATTCCACTTCTTCAGGCTCTTCGGCGTCCTCTAGTGCTAGTGGGTCGTCTGAAATTACCGACTCGTAGTTCTCCTCGCCTTCCGCTTTACCTGCATGGGCACCCTGAAACGACGACGTCCCATTTAGGCACGATGTTCCATGACACTGGACGCAGAATTCGTTCTTCAGACCTACAACAAGAAGTATTATGTCAAAAAAATTTTATAATTAAGTATACGAATATAATATTCTCTCGTGTGTCCTAACTCCTAAGTGTCGGGTAGAGAAGGTTTACCTGATTTTCTGAAACAGTTGCAGGAAATCAGGTAAACCTTCTCTACCGGACACTTAGGACACACGAGAGAATATTATAATCGTATACATAATTATAAACATTTTTTTGACATAATGCTTCTTGTTGTAGGTCTGAAGTGTAATGAACTCTGCGTCCAGTGTCATGGAACATCGTGCCTAAATGCCACGTCGTCTCTTCAGGGTACCCATGCATCAGGTAAAGCGGAAGACGAGACCTACGAATCGGTAATCTCAGACGGCCCACTACCACTAGAGGACGTCGAAGAGCCTGAAGAAGTGGAATCTGCATCTAGTCTATAACTTTTGAATGAGAAGTCTGATCGAAAAAGTACGAATTGATTTGGATTCTACGCACCCAAATTAATAAGAAAAAGTGTTTTCCCGAGAATTTTGGTGTAGTCGATTTTTGGTAAAAAAGGAAGGTTATACACTGCCTTTTTTTGAGCCTCGAAAAAAAAATTGTCTCAGATCGACCCGGAAAAAAAATTTTCTAATAGAATGTGGCCTGTAGAATCCATAATTTCAAACAGTTCCAAGATTGGGCTACTAGTTCAAAAGTTACAGCCCTTTGAATTTTCTTTCGAAATTGGTTTCTAGTCTATAACTTTTGATTGAGAAATCTGATCGAAAAAGGGCGAATTGTTTTGGATTCTACGCACCAAAATTAATAAGAAAAAGTGTTTTCCCGAGAAATTTTGGTGCAGTCGATTTTTGGTAAAAAAGGAAGGTTATACATTGCCTTTTTTTGAGCCCCGAAAAAAAAATTGTCTCAGATCGACCCGGAAAAAAATTTTCTTATAGAATGTGGCCTG